GGGGCCTGGGGGTGGGGGGCAGCAGGTCAGGAGTGAGGGACACTGGGTCAGGACTGGTCAATGTTTACAAATGGGGCCTGGTACAAAAAAAATGGTGAGAACCACTGCTCTAGAAGACAGCATGAGGGGTGCAGGACATCTTCCACAGATGGTGGACAAGAGGGAGGGTGCAGAAATAAATCCCTAAAAGACCCTATTTGACCAGACTGTTGTCAGCTTCATGGTCCCAGGAAGCCAACAGGTCGTTCAGGTCTCCTGCAAGAGGATACAAACCTGGGCAAGACTATAAGGAAGACAGGACATTCAAAATTGGGACATTTCTGGTTTTGATACATTCGCCCTCTCCTAGTATCATACGATGGCTGCAGCTGGAAAGCAACGGAAGGTAGAAGCCTGGCAGGACCCTCCATTAAGGGGCCAGCAGCCTGTGAAGGGGACAGAAGTAACAGGAACTGGTACAACTGCTAAAACCCCTGCAAGTCAGCACTGGTTAGCTAGATTGTTAACTACCACAGGAACATTCCTCTCTCCCTCTTTTTCGCTCAGGCCTGCGATGAGGAACCAAGAGCAGCTGCAGGGAAGGGGAAATGTCTCCACAGGAAGAACCTGCTCCTGGGTGTGCTTGTGGTCAGCACAGTCTTCAGCCTTGCCCTGCTGATAACCTACATCATCCTGACCTGCCGCCTGGGTACAAGAACTAAAACAGCCTTCTCTCTGTCCCACTTTCTCTCTCTCCTCTCTCATCAGTGGTCCATTTGTGCAAGGCCCAGCCTCTGACCACCTCAAAGATTATAAGCAAACATAAAACCTCTAAATAAAGAAAACTGCAATTGAGAGATACTGCCCTGCCCTACCACCCTGAACCCTACCTGTCACTTGGAGAACTCTTTATTCCCAAGCCCTTTGCCAACCCCACTTCCTAGGGGAGTAGCAGCATACCCCTGGGTTACCCCTCAAGAATGCTCTTCCTTCTGTGCCTTCTGCTCACTGACAGTTTCTGCAGGATTGTGCAGCACTGCTCTCCCTGCAGACACCCCAGTGCAAAGCGGAGTTGTGCCTGGTATCTGGGACTGGGAAAGAGCTGGCTTTCTCTCCCTAAATTCCCAGTCCAGACCTAGTTCTCACAGGTCCAACACATGCAGTCCTGGTGCTGGCAGGAAGATCATGGATTCCCATTAAATGACAAAGCTGAGATCAGAGATTGCAGGAAGCTAGTCTGTCTCTTTAAACACAAGGCAGATCACTGCTAGAAGACTGCACAAACATGGAGAGCCCAACCTCAGGGCAACAGATACCTTGCTCCAATTTAATTATGAAGTCTTTTCTTCTGGCATTTTTTCTGAGCGTATCTTCTGCCCTTCTCACTGGTATCCGAGGAATGGGAATCCCTTCAAAACAGAGCCTGAGGTATTCAAGGTTGGGAAGTATGACGACTCCTGATCCTGTCCATTTCCAGGGAACAAAGCCTTTGCCAGTCATTGGACTTTTGTCCCATGCTTATCCATTCCACATGACATTGTCCAGCCAGGCTTCAGTGTTTCACACTATTGACCTTCTACCCATCCCCATGGGATACTAGGTCATGAGAATGAGGCCTCACAAAGGCACACACTTGGGTGACTTTAGCTAAACTGGTTTAAAAATTCACCTTTAGTTAAACTGCTGGAAACACAAGAGCAGGCTCTCTTAGTTTGATGTACAAGTGCCTTATTTCAGTAAGGAATTGACTAAACCTGGAACCACCATAAGCCATTCTTAAACTGAGTTTGTAATGTTCATATAGGGGTTTAATGCTGGTTTAACTAAAACCATTGTTTAAACTAATGTAAGTAAACCTGAAACAGTTTTCTTATCTGTAGATAAGGCCTAACAAAAAGGCTTCCTGGGACTTTCCAGAACACGCATGCTTGCATTGTTTGGGTTTATCTCCTTTATTGGTATTATTTCCTTCCCTTCCTGCTCATGTTTATGCACTTCATTTCTTGGTAAGTGGTTATCATTCCCTTCCGGTATAACTTTTGGCGAAACAGCAAACACTGAATCACAGCAAATGTATTAAGCAAACAAAAACAGGAGAAGTTTGTCGCTAATCAGCTTCGGGCTGATGTCACCCCTGGAGTCACTATCCATCCTTTATTTTAAGCATCTTTCCATCCCAAACAATCAGACATAGGCTACACTTTGCCCTGCACTGAGCAATAGCTTTTGTAGGCAAATGAATTTGTATCACACATCAAGTTTTCCAGGGAAGTGTCCCTTCTCACTATTTTCTTGCTTATATGTTTTAGCTTGTTGACCTTAATTTTCCTACTAATCATTCTCACTGTTTTTCCCCCCTGCCTAGAGTCCTGCGATACTGAGGAGTGCCTTGTGGCCAAACTCCTGGACACCAGGAATGCCACCATAGACCCCTGCAATGACTTCTATGGCTATGCCTGTGGCAACTGGGAAGACAAGAACCCAAGCAGGATGACTAAGGAGTCACTGAATGTATTTGATGTATTATTGGAAGAAAACCAGCTGATCCTGAGGAAGCTTTTAGGTAAGGGTGGGAGGTGCACTGATAGGATCCTCCAAGAGCAGAACTGTGACTACCCATATATATCACATCCCCAACAGGGACCAAACCTTTCCCTTTTCACTTCTCAAGAAGTGCAACCACAGCCACAACCCCATCCCCCACTCCCTTCTTTGCAACCTGTCCCTACAAACCACAGTCACTAAAGACTGAGTGACAATCAGAAAATTTGGCTTCTGACAAAAGTTTACACCTTCACCCTAGTATGGGCGGCCCGCTCAAATAGGCAGTGATACAGGCAGACAAACACAAAACTACCTTCACTCCATCTCTTTCATCTCTCCTTGGCTCAGCCATCTCAGATAGGAATATAAAGCTGTTTTAGAATTGCCAAGTCTTGCCTTGTGACTGAAGCTCCCTCTGCCCCTTGGGCCTCTGCCACGTTACAAATAAAGACATGATTAATTAGTTAATCCTGTCTTAAATTGTAACCCAGCCACACGTTAAAGCAATTAATGGTGTCATAAAACAAGGAATAAGCCACAAAGTGATTCTATAAAAAGTGTTCAACAACTTTGTAGGTGGATCCTATCACACCATTGAGCATCTTGCCAGGTGCACCCTGCAGTGGGGAGCTCCATCACCCCAGCCATAGCAGCTTACTAGCTGATGCAGGGAGAGCTCAGGATCTTGATCCCAGGCTCCCCCTACACTGGCACTAACACATAATGTGATCTGATGCTCTGTCCCACAATCATGCCTCCTGCTATGCATGTATGGCATGGAAGAAAGCACAATTGTGAGGGCCGTGCATCAGTTCCCATCTTGCTTTTACCTGCATATCTGGCAGAGGTCTCAGAGGCAGGATGTGATTATATTTCTCACCACCAGTTGGGCCTCTAGAAACTAAAGTAAGGCCTTTTCCTCCTTCCACACCATTAAAATCATACCATATGCTGCAGTCACTTTGGGCTGTGTCTTTAGAGCTGAAGAGGCCAAGTTGGTGACCAGCCTGTCTGGGTTTATTCAGTCATAGTACGAGGTCACAATCTACCTTGGATTATTAACCAGGCTACAGTAGCTACCTCCTCATCTAAGGCCACTGCTTGTTCTTTTGCTTTATCCTCAGTGTTTTTAGTCTCCCATTTGTTATCCTTTTCTTAGAGGCTCCAAGGCATTGGACAAAAGGCTCGGCCAAGGAGAAAGCCCACCAGTTCTACAAGTCCTGCATGGATACCCAACAGATTGAAGCACAAGGAACTGAGCCCTTGAAAGATATCATAAATAAGGTGATCACACCAGCTGCTTCTAGGCTGGGGAATGCAATTCCACTTAAGAAACAAGTTCTTATTAAGAGAAAGATATGGTGAACATAACTCCCATTTTCCTTGGGACAGTTCTGGATATCCTGTCTCCTGGAGAAATGAACATTTTTGTCCTGTGTTCAGCAGGATGCCTAGGACAGGGGCTTAAAATAGGACTATCCTCCTCTGCAGTGCTCCATACCCCCATGTTCCCATTTCACAGTGGTCAGCCTTCCCCTTGCAGGGATCCCACTCCCACAGTTACCAGTAATACAAAAGGTAAGTGGTCCTCTTCCTCCTTGCTACCTTTTTGCAAATTCAATACTGAAGGTCAGGCGATGACTTGTTATGAAAGTAGCTGCATTAAAGGTTTCAGGGACTTGAGTGTGATTCTGTTCCACCATGCTCAAGTGCTTAAGTCCACTTAGATGCCCAGTCTGGAACAGAATCGATCCCTTACTAACTCCTGGGGGTGGCAGTTTAATGCCCCAGTCCGTAGAATAATCTGATGCCCAGGAGACAAGAGACTGGCTCCTAGATAATATGCATTCATATCACAGTCCTCTCCTCCCTGATGGGTAGGATGAACATAGTTCTCAATTCTGGCTGTCTGACATCATGTATGTATGTCAGACATCATATATGTCTGAATATGTATGTATGACCCCACTTGCTAGTTTAGGAACAAAGTCTAAAAATCCTCCTCATTTCCCCACACTAGCCCTTCCTGTGGGAAGGGAGTATTTTTCTGAGCAGGAACATGTTGTAATTCAATGGGAAACATCTTAGGAGATAGGAAAATCTTTGGAAAAAGAAAAGAGGAAGGTGAAATTTTTTTGCCCATGGACTGCAGGATCTGAGGGAAGCATTTAAGTTGCTAATTCTTATAAGACCTGACCATCTAGCATGAGGGCTACCATGTGTTGCTACTTCTGAATTCTCTCTACTATGTCTTATCACCCACAGCTCTTTCAGATGGCTCATTCTCACCCTCTCTCTCTGCTGCTGCCTTGTTTGGTCATTTTTAATCACAGCATTAGGGTAAAGGGACAGTGTTAGTTTAGGCTTGTATGGGGTATATGAAGATTTTCTGTCATGTCTCTAGTTGTTTTTTTTCTTCCTTGTTTGTATTAATCATTTTTCCCGTATTATTTATGCCAATCTTGATTCTCAGCTCTGATACCATATTTTTGGGCATACTACATACCAAAATGGGGGGTGCATCTCTTAAGTGAGGTGTGGAAACTTGCAGCGACAGAGGCAGCCATACATTCCCTGCCTGGCTCAGGCTCTAGTGTAGCCCTCCATTGTGCACTTGCCCACCCAGAGAAGGGGAGGCTGCCTGTGGGCTTTAGAAAGAGTTTGAGTCTGCACAAATCTCCAGTGGGCCTGCCCTGGACCCCCTTTTTCTCAGCTCAGCCATCAAGCCTAATAGGCAAACTGAGAAGCACCTACACCCCTGCAGGCACCTGTAGCCTTAAGGACAAATTGTGTGACTCCATTCCTGTCCTACAAACACCCATGAGACTTGGGGTATGGGTCTCACTGATGTCACCTGTTTATACACCTAGCCCCTTTAGGTTCTTGGACCTCCTAGTCCCTTACTCAGCCTCTCCCTGGGCTCCTGGTCCCACATGCAGCCCCTCTCTGAGCCTTCAGACCCCTCAATCCAGCTCTCAGTCCCCTCTGGGCTTGGGGACCTTCTAGTCCAGTTCAATCCCCTCTGGGCCTGTGGATCCTCTGATCTAACTCAACCTTCTCCAGGCTTGTGGACCCCCTAGTCCAGATCTCTAAATGGACATTGAGCCTGCCCCAGCAGACCTTAAGGCTAAACCCTGGTATAACTAAATCAAAGCACCTGTGTCCTCTCAAAGGCGCTAAAATCCTTGTTGGGCTTAACCTAAAACCAATGCTACCTGCCTATAGATAGAAACCCTTCTCTGCCCCAGGTTCCTTTCCTTGTTTCCCAGTCTGCAAGTTTCATGTTCAGTTCTACTATCAGTTCAGGAGACCTACTGCTCTGCCCTTAGGAGCTCCTTCCTTCATAGCTACCAAAGCAATTGCTAATGAAGGCTCTAGGCTTATATAGCTCAAGCCTGAGCCCTCGTCCAATCAAGTGAGGCTCTCATTAACCCCCTTTGCCACCTGCAGTCAGCCTCCCTTAAAGGAGCAGGCAAGCTCCAGTGTCCTGCTACACAGGGGAGCTGCTTTCCATTCAAGAACGGAGGCAGGGGGACACTGGAATGAAGCAAGGGGCTGTATTCAACATCAGCTGAGCTAAACTGGACCCTTCTGGGCCCAGGGAGTAGGGGCTTATTTTAGTATCAATGTCACTCTCCCCTCCCCCTGCTGCAAAGCCAGTAGGTACAGGTTTAACCCTTCCACATCTGCTGCCAAATCAGCAGTATCTGCTGACTAAGTAGCAAGCGGTGGGTTCAGCCCTGGCTAAGCTGGTAGCATGGCAAATAAGACTCTAGAAAATATATTTTTTTTTCTTCAATCTGCTTTCCCAAAACAAGGTGTGTGTTTTACATAAAGTCATCTGGTATGCAGGTAATTGTGATATTTTCATGTTCCTAAACTGTGGGAGAACTCCGAATCAGATATGGAACAGCTGTTTCTGCACCTTTTTTTTTTTACCAGTCTTAACTAGTAACCATTTTGTCTTTCTCTTTCTCTTTTTGTCTCCACCCTCCCCCACCAGCACCTATTTGCTTCCACTCCCATTTGATGCTCTCTATCACTCTCTTTCTGCAGATCGGTGGATGGAATTTCATGAGACCAGAGGAAAAGATAGATTTTAACCAAACTCTGCGAACACTCATGGGCAACTATAGTACATTCCCCTTCTTCAAAGCCTTTGTGGGACCTAGTTTATCTGACCCCAGTACCAATATCATCCAGGTAAGAGGATTAAAAGGAGTAGAAAGGAAAGTGAATCAGCCATGGTCTGGCAGGGCCCAGTCATTTCTAATGATCCAAATCTATGGAACTGAAACCAAGAGGAATTGTGTTGTCATATAGGTGACAAAGAAGACCTGAAAGAGGCCTCGCCTGTGGTATGATAGAGTGCTGTGCTAGAAAATCAGAGGGCCTTGTCGTATGGGACACTTAATATGTACTTTATGTAAAACTGTTATAAGCATTACTATGCTGTATGAAAAATGTTAACTTGTTCTGAGCAGTAAGCAGTCATGCTTACTATGATCTCAGCCCACTCCTGACAGGGTTGGAGCTGGATGTGCCCCACCCAGTGTGGGGCAGCAGAGCATGTCCACACGTGAGGTCATGTAACCTTCTTGCCTGGAGCCTGCAGCTGCCCTGCCATGTGCCCAGCCCAGACATGCTTGTCTTGGCATGCTGGGGGGAGCCACGTCTCTGCCACTAGCAGTAGGTAGAGGGTGGGTCTCTTCCACTAGCAGTGGGTAGAGCAGTGGCACGGGGAGTTGAGAGGGTGCCACTCCTGTTTCTGGATCCATACTTGCCATTAGATTCGCAAAGCAAGCCTGGTCTCTGCTGCTGGTAGTTAGGGT